AAGGCTTACACCAGACTAAATCCAGTTGATTCCTGAGGACTCATACTCCAATCCACATGCAGATCTGACTCGTAATCCCCCGAAGGAAACGGCCGCCTGTCCAGCGGGATGGCAGTCCCCAAGGAATATGAAGAATATTGTAAATGAGGTTCGTATTTGTATGGACCTGGGAGTTGGAAATTGAAAATGTTATGGTACAGCGAGGCGTTGGTAGAGGTTCCGCTGCCTCCAGTGAACAAGGAAGAATTGGGGTTGTGAGTATTGTCGCTTTGAGAGTTCGGACTCGACTCCCCATTCCCACTGTCCCCTCCTCTAAACATTCCCATGAGCCCACTCTGGGTGCTCGAAGGGTACTCTATATCCATATTATCACCCGTCGTGCTCCCGCTCAAATGATCATACATGTTATTCGGAACCGTAGACGAATCTGGGACCAAGCTGGGGCTGGCATCGGGATTCGCCCTGTCATTACCGCCAAACGAAATTCGGTCGCTAAAGACAAGTTCTGGAGAGGGCGACGCTCTCCTCGACACGTCTGAGCTCGCAGACAGATTTTCGGACGCGGTAGATCTTTGTTCGGCACCGCCGCTGATGGACTTCGCATTGTCGCGGGAGCGCTTGCGGATAACGTCCGCTTTCATTGAGATGGGACGAGCGGAACCATGCTGTTTGTAATAGAGACCGCATCTAGAAAAAAAGGAAACAAGAAAGAAAAAAAAAAACAAGGTCAGCTGTGTTAACCAATCGAAAAACGGAAAGTATATACGCATTGCAATTAGTCTTGCCTTCATCGTCCTTACGCCAAAGTGGCGTAGCCGTAGTGTGACAGTTGTTGCATCGAGCTGAAAAAGAGAGAATTAATAATCATCATCATTTCATCATCGAAAAAAAAACTCACTCATAACCTCAGCCGTCTCAGGCCTCAGGCCATTATGCTCCAAGTGACCCTTCCCATACTGGTTCCTCATGGTCTTGGGTCGAGGGCGCCTATGCTAAAGAAACACATTGAGATAATTGTAACATAAAAATTAGACATAAATCAGCACCATGTACCCATATAAAAAACACAACAGTAATCTACTCACTAACTTGAAATACAACCCACACGCATTACAATTCAGCTCATCGTTCAACCCCCTCCTCCAGAGTGGCGTATGCGTCGCCCCGCAATTCAAACACTCGGCCGTTTGCCCACTAGGGATGTTATTCATATTATTCATGGTCGCCGCATTCCCTCTTTCAGCCTTGAATAACGCACCCGCGGACTGGAGCGGCGGTTTTGTGTTGAAGGGCATAGGCAACGTCATTCCAGAGGTAGCAGCAGAAGTACCCATCATTGAAGTAGAAGTAGAACCGGAGGCAGAAGTCGGAGTGGCGGACCCTGTATCCCCTGAGCTGTTGGCAGAGGTACATACAGTCGGATTGGGACGCGGAGTGGGAGATCGTGTTTTGACAGATCTGAGCTTGGTAGGTGCAGAGACGGATTTGATGTTCGTCGTCGGACCAAGTTTGGTCTCGTTCACCGGAGGAGTGGAAGAAAGTGTGGTGGAAGAGGTCAAGTCGTCCGAGGTGCTGGGAAGATAAAAGACCGGCGGGTCATTGGCGCCAGTGTTGGTGTTGATGTTGGAGTTGGAGTTGACAAGGGAAGTGGTACTGAAAAGAGGTGTGGTGTTGGTAGTGTTTTTGTCATTGAAAAAGGCCGGAGACCAGGGTCCAGGAGAATCGCCACTGTCGACTCCGTTAAGGATTTCGTCGAGAGGTAATTCAATTGTGGGTCGAGGAATACTGAAACTGTCATTATCATTAGCAAGGTTGGGGGCATTGGGGCCTTCCCCGTAATTGATCGAAGTCGTAAGAGTAGGAGAAGGGGCAAACAATGCAGCTGGAGCAAAGTCATTGGAGAAAAGAGAAGGAAAATGAAAAGTGGTATCATCATCTTTGCGTCCACATTGGGTCAGAGCCTGATCATCGGCATCAGCGACCAATTTGGGTGGAGTCCTTATGGTAAGACGTTTCTTGGACTCGGGAGAAGATTTCAAATCAAGCTTCTTGAAAGGTCGAGCGGTAGCGGCCGCAGCAGGCATATCAATGGAAAAGGTGAATGGCATGCACTTGATGGTGCTGGATTTGGCGTTCTGACTGGCCTCGCGGCTGCGCTCTTTTTCGACAGCCCTTTGCCGAATCATATCTGTGAAATGATTCCGTTTGAAATCGGGGCCGTCGAGCTCTTGAATGCTCCTGAGTCCTGACCAGTTAGTACAAGCCGAATTAATCCAAGCTCAAATAACTCACCGTCCCTTCTCCTTGTCCAGCTGATCACTCGCGTTTCTGGAGAGTTTCTTTAATTCTCTCTTTGACTTTGAATTGTCAATGTCGACCATGAGGTTCTGGAGATGCCATAGTCTCCAACTGAGGTTCTCGAGTCTTTGTCCTTGATCGAGGTAAGTAGCAACTTTGGTACAGACCTAATACCAAATTGTAATTAGAGAAATTCAGAAAATCATTGAAGAGCTGTATACCTTCCAGGTCTTGGTTATAGAGTCAACATCACTGAGGTTGGTAAACGCAACAAACGATTTTTGACCCTAGAACATTACTTTTGATTAGCAACTGATGGCGCTAACCGCCAATGACAGACTTTGAACTTGAGATTAAGGATCGAGGGCATTGGAGAGCAGCGACAACAATGAGCACAGTGAGTAGCAGAAACGTCGATGGAGGCACGGCTACAGAGCGAGAAGTCAGCAAAGGCAGATCCCTTATAACTCCCCCTTCATCCGTGCCTTGAGGATCCGATATCAGAGCAATATCAGAGCCTATACACTCGCCAAGCGCGCGGTTAGGATATCAATAGGTGGTTGGATGGTTGGAATATATTCATCAATAGGTGGTTAAGATGTCGAGGAGTGGTGAGAACATCGATGGGCGGTTAGAATGCTCAAAGGGAAGTTAGAACATCAAAGAGTGGTTGAAACTAACGGTTAGAATGTCAACGATGACGCATGCTCAACGCTCAACGTTCAACCACCATCGGACCGTTCAGCAATGCAAGATGCTTTCGCTGACTTCTACCTACCTCTCCATATTGAAGGCAGAACATACCGTGACCAGTAGCTACAACTACTGGCACAGGCCACAGTTACTTACCTCCCACATTCAACCGGAGCGACCTGCAATGCTGGGTACTTAGTCTTACCTACATACGCAGTATAACAGAGTATATTAAAATAAATAAAAAAGCTGTATACTTATCAGGTCAAACGACGTAGCTTTGAGTGTAGATTTTTGGCTCTCCTGGCAAGTTTAATCATATGCTAGACTTGAACCCGCTTTTTTGTTCATTTGTTCTGAACATACGAGCTTCTGGCATCTGCGTATCCTCCGGTTGATAGCCGAGCCGCCCGAGCCCAGTGCCGGGCTGCGACCGACTATGCGCTTCAACTCATCCAGCGACTATCATGCAAACAGTAGTCCTGAATAAACATACGGTCAAATTCTTCCTTGCATGTTCATCTTCAGCTTCGCTCTAATCTTTGTCGTTCTCACCTGGCTTAGCTTCTGGTCAACGCCTAGTCCAGAGCAAAATTTCTCACCCAAAGACTGTTTATCCAGTACCAACGGCTCACTCGACGCTCTTATAACCTGCCTCGACGCGTTCACCGTCCCTCCAGACTTTTACGATGTCTCTACGTATGAGGCTGCTCAACCTACAAAGGACAATCTTGCGGCGTGGAAAGCCGTCATTTGGGCAATGTTAGAAGCTAAAGCGGGAGACTGTTCCGATGTTATTTTGCCGGACGTTTTAAAAGACTTTTACGCCGTAACTCGGTTATTTGATTCCAACCCACACAGCACGCACTGCGTACTTTCGGAGACTACGTCCTTCCCAATCTCATCTCCGTACCAAAATCATACCTACGCTAAAGGATGGGGTCTTTTCGTCGTACCTGCCTCACCTACATTCGTCTCCCGCAACGTTCACCTGTCTGCACCCCACCCCCAGGCAGATATTGAAACGCCCCAACAGGCAGCTGCGATATTCACTATGGCGCGCGCGAGAAGTTTATTAATTTCTGGACGGTTTCGGTCGGCGTTTGGCGTACAGACGGGTTGTATCATACCTAGTAATCCGAGGACAGTGTATTACAAGACAGATCCTGCCCACGATGTGGTACGTCACTCCATATGCCTCAATGAACTTTACTTTTGACACAGTTGACCGCGTAGAACGAACCATTCAACGTCGCCAATGGAGTCATACGCAGATGGCAAATTTCAAACGGCGGTTGTCCGTCCGAGACTTGCGCTTACGTCCAAATGCACGGAAAAGGGCACTCCACATGCCCAGACGATACGGTGTTCATATCGAGTGGTCTAGGTACGTGATTCCTTCTCCCTTGGTTAAAATGACATCCTCTTACTTCGTCCCTCGATCCCTTTGCAGGCACCTCCTCATCTTCAATTGCATGGTACCAGAACGAAACCCTAGAGGTCCCCGCTCGTCGTCTTCGAGACGCTGCTCGGACCATCTTTCTTTCCTCCTCTACTTTGAGTAACTCCTTTGAAAATGCCTCTCTATGGAGAAACATCTCCCTCCCTTCCGATTCTCCCTCTTGTAAATCTCTAACAGCAACAACCAACGTATTCGGCCGTTTGATCAATGGTGTTCCTGAGGATGACGTATGCACTACAGCTGCTAAAGCGTCGAGCGGGAAAGTCAGGGGCGAGTTTGTTCATATCGAGCAGGCGATTGTGTCTAGGCAGGGCGGCACCAATGGGAAGGTGTATCAGATGTGGGCGGAGGTTTTTCGGAGGACTTGGAGGGGTGTGGAAGAAAATTAACGGGCGATGTATTCAAAGGCGTCGTGATGTTATAGGTCGACATCTGGAATCAAAAAAAGAAAATGTTTTTGCCCGCGAGTGAGGGATAAGTAATCTAGAAGCTTTATAGTAACTTAACTTCGTCACTAAATAAAAAAACCACAAGAAGAAAGGTCAAATTCCAATGCGGGGAATCGAACCCCGGGCTGCTGTGATCAAATTCCTGGTATATATGAAAGACAGCAATGTTAGCCACTACACCACATTGGACACCTGCATCTCGATAGTACAAGTCCCTCAGGACATATGGTCAGTGGAATAATGCGAACATTTTTACTAAGGGATCGGATACGAACTGATCCTGTCATCTAAGATATTCTATACAATGTGAGTCATAATGGAGTTTACAGAAAGGTATCAAGTTACGCGACAGTATACGTATCACTAACGTCCAACGGTTCCTCATTGGTAACCCTTATACGCGAATCGAAGCTGGCCTTGTCAAAAAAGTCAGTTGAAAGCCCAGACAACCTCGCCACTTTCCCCTTCCCTTCCTGCCACGACATTGGAGGCATCTCCTGAAGCGAGTACACATCCACATCGATTTCCTGCGCAGCGAGATGTCGATCCAAAAACTTGATAAACTCTCGTCCCTTCTCAGAAAGGATAAGAGCCGACATGGGTGCTCGTTCATCTTCGGAATAGATAATATCTTTGATAGACGATGCGAAACTAGGAATGAAATCTCGCTGGAGCTCTTCGGGAGTGCGAGATATCCATGCTTGAAAGTCATCGATTAGGACAATAGATTGATGGCGGATTGCAGGGTCAGGATGACTCCAGAGCTTTTTGCATACAATCATGAGAGGATCCACGTCGAGGAGGGTGATACGGTTATCTGCACAGAAGCATCGAATGGACCCTATGATCTGCTGCAAAAACTCGGTAGGTAGCTGAGGTCTCTGCCCTGTGTGCTCCAAATACTGAGACATACATGACAGGATTAGGCGTAACAATAGCTCACCATCTCCAATGAAATCCATGCTGGCTAAAACCCAGAACGAATATTCGGGTGCATTGGCGTTTTGACAGTTGATTTGGCGGAGGAAGAGCTCCGCAACGAACCTGCCAATATCGGGATCCCAAGCGGAATGCCTGAAGAACTCGTAATACACGGCGTCGCGAGAGGGTTCATCAGGATTTCCCGAGGCGTGGGCCGCCACGTCGACGGGAAGCGTTTGAAAGCAGTAAAACATATGATTCGCCATTGCCATACTGTCCCCAAAAGTTTTCACTATCCACCGAAGACCCCGTAGTAGAAAGATACTATGAAGTCGATTCTCGGTATGGGTGCGGAGTAAGTATAAGTCGGACGAGGCCCAGTCTTGGAAGGTGACCTTGATATGGAAGAAAAGTTGCAGAACTATCGTCGTCAGCTTGTAAAAAAGCCATGACTGCGAAGATTTGTACGGGCAAAGAAGAACATCATCCTCAAACTTGGCGATGGCACGGTATTTAAGTAGATAATATGCTGGAAGAATAGTAGTCAAGAAAGGAATTGATACGCTTATTACAGAAGCGGCAGTGCAGACTGCAGCCACAGTAATATTAAGCGACCATAAAAGATCCAAGACACCATAGAAAAACAGTACTAGTGCTGCTTGTAAAATCAAAGGTAGTGAAGCGAGAAGAGCTGGGACCCCCCACCGCTCCAAACTATCATAACGGAGTTGGCGAAGCTCCAGCGCCTCTTTAGACGAAGAGCAGGGCGTATCCCGTCGATGCTCTCTGAGCCATTGTTTGCAAAGAATTCCAAGTAATACCGTCGAAAGGCTGAAAATGAGGCTAAGGAACCATACTGCATTGATACGGACCGAAGCTGCTTGGGGTACGAAGTTTGTTTGGCTACTGGACACGACGATATCCAGTTGCTTCATAGCAATTTGCCGCAGTAGGTCGTTATTGACATTATTGAAGCTTGGATTCAACCATTTATAGCTTTCGATCACGAATGCCGTCACGGCAGCAGAAAAAAGGCCCGCCTAAAGTTCGTAAGTTAGACGAACTGGGTAATGGAATGTCCGGAAGAAAGTAACTTACGAAAACCAACAGTGTATCAACATCCTCCTTCCATGCTCGAGACATTTCATCGTCGTACAAATCCACGCGTTTCATACTTTCCTCCCATGGGTCACCGCGTCGTTTGGGTGGAAACTTGTAGTAGTCGCCTTCTTGCCATAGTCGCGGCTGAGAATACAGCACCTAAGTTCTGATGAGTGCTTCTTTCATGGTAGGTACTCACCACTTCTCCTAGAAGCGCAGATGTACGATCTCTTTCTCTGTGGGTATTTTCGTGCCCGACTCCTCCGTTTGCTTGAAACGGTGTAGCTCCGTTTTGAAATGGTGCAGCTCCGTTGCTAGTGATGGACGCCTTTTCTCTGAACTCTCTGTGAAAAAAGTCCAACGTTAGCTGGTCTCGGGAATCCAAAACCAAACTGACTGAGTGGCCATCGTATTATTAGGAGAATATGGTGGTGTAATGTACGATGATTTGTACATGGCTCTCTGAACCGTTGAAATACGGTCCGCAACGTGGATCTGTAACATGGTTGAGATTGACCGGTCCTAGAGCCGATACACTTTGTGCGTCGATCAAAATCTCATCTCCTCGAGTTTTTCATTTTACAGCCAGCACCCTTCGATCTCAGTAAAATGACCGCTGATAGGGAATTACGAATGTCGGTTCGGGAATCTACATGATAGATCAATACAAATCGCCATGTTTTTTTCAAAGATTTTACGTGCCAACGTCTCTCTGACGACCCTTGTCGAACCTCTCGCCATTTAACATTCGGCCGCATTTACCCGGCGACTCAATCCAGGACCAAGGGTCTGTAGAGTTCGCATTTTGCCCCCTCGCAATCGAGGTCAAAGTTAGTTACAGAAGACTGGACAGTGATTCAAGGTACTCACGTCATCTCCGGAGCAGGAAAACTCCAGCCTATAAACGACTGGAAGCACAAACGAACGTTTAAAAACCCTAAACATATAAACAATGTACTCGAATTTGAATGTTCTGAAAGTGACCCTGAGCTGGCGAATGGAGTTGACGACTCTGAGCTTTGGCAACTGAACGAGATTAACCACAAATGTTTAGACATAATCAGCACTGGGACCCAATATACGATAAACAGTAAAGACGGCGTTCAGGAAGCCTCTGAAAGATACGACCATCGACACATGGAGAAAACTCACTCGACTATTCAGATACGACACAAACTCGAACCACCACAAAAAGAAGCGGATTTCTGGGAACCTCTGAGGTGAGAATAGCGCCAGTAGAAGGGTAAGCATACACATGTACCGATCTGCAGATACAAGGTTGCAGAGATAGGTCAGAGCCTGGCCTCAGGAAGACCTTTCCATCTCTGGTCGATGAGGGCACGCTTGCTGTGCTGCGGATTCCGGAGAGAAGACGGCATAGGAGATTGCCTGAATCGCATGGGAGGAGGCATGTCCAGCTGCGAGGCTTGGCTGAATTTGGGGCACCTTTCCGAGAGATCCAGAACACTCTTAAGAGACACGGCCTTTCTGTTATTCACCTAATAGAGCAACGTTCGCAATGTCGTTGTTCGTGGTGAGATGATAAAAGGTCAACGTAAGCTCGGTCAGGAAGAATTCTACCGACGTCCGAGAAGTGGAAGAAGTCACGACCTAGCTACGGAGTTCAATTTTCAACACAGCTTCCTGTGAGAATATGAGATTTGAAGTAATCACCGTATCTGCTTTTAAAGCCCCGAATTAGGCAAGCACGCGGCGAACGTTATTAACGGGGTTCCGGAACCCCGGGATAGAATACCAGGGTGCCACCAACATGAGAAAGAGAGAGTAACATTGTCGTGAATATGTATCATTGGAGATAGCCATCAGCATGGTAAGTGCGACCTCTGGGCGGTTCAAGTAGTAGTTTGGTTTTTTTAAAATCAAAGTCAGCTTGACAGAAAGTCGCTTGTCCCTGATCCTTCATTCCAGCATCTACGACTTGGACGTCCTAGTCTGGTCTTGTACTTAATGTCAGTTGAATTACTGTCCATGGACACACCTGAATCCGGGAATGTGGCATCAGCCACTAACTGTTGATCGAGGGCATTCAGCGACTCGCCCCCAAGCTGATTGAAGACCAAGCATTCACCTTGGTTTCTATCATCAATGCTCATCAGGAGAAGCTCTACTGTATATCCACGAGTCAGGCTGCGCAAAGAAAGAGTTTAATCAAACTGACGTCTCACTCCAGACTTTCATGTCTGTGTACAAGCCAATAAATTCAGCATGCATGAGAGATTCGCCAGTCCTGAAGGCAGGTTTTCATTCCAGAAGGCAGCTATCTTCGTGAGATGTCAATGGGCAAAGTCACAAGTTGGGCTAGTGGCCTGCCGAGTGATTTAGCACATTACCGCTGTAAGAAACTATGTCAACCGCATGAGTTGTGTGAGACTTTGACGTCTTGATATAGGTCATCTTTGAATTTGGTTTGGCTGTACTTCGGTGACCCCATCGATCTGCGGTTGAGGCTGAGGAAAAAGGCAGCGAGCTGATGAGATTTGGGCTCCCCTGGGTAGAGTCCTGTTCCAAGAGTTCTAAAAATTGGGATAGACTCGTCGAAAAACAGTTCTGTATACCGGTTTTCAATGATTTGCATGCATTTTTCTGGCTTAATCAAACAGTCAAGAAAAACGCCAAGCACAAGCAAAGAGCCATTTTCGAAATCATTGCAGATGGACTGAATGGAACACGTTGAAAATTCAGGCCTAAAGAATTAGTATAGCATACAGGCGACAATCGGTTTACCCACTAAGTCAGTAAAGCAACATACTGCTCAGATCCAGTATTTTTTCCTGGAAGAAATGGTAAAGCAGCTCTAAAAAGCTCGAACAGGGTGGGTGTCCAGTGTCATTGTCCCGTTGGTAGATTGGAAGTTGGGAGATCACGCAAGGGTCACGTACTCGTCATTAGGCTTTTTGAGCGCTAAATTGAATTGAACTGCGACGCGACGAGGAACAGTCAAAACCCTCCCTGCATTCGTCTGATGACTGGAAAAAGGTAAAAACTATTTTTTTCTTCTACTGAGAATTACCTTACACGTATTAAACACGTCCATATCAAGTTCAACCCATCTCACAAGCGAAATCAGAGTCGCGGTTCCCATGAAGAAGTGCGGATTCTGAAGAGATGAGACAAGCCGGTTTCGCATTGTTTTCAGTTGCTCTATA